AGAGCTAGCGATGTCTGCTTCATTTCGCCATGGCTTATAAAGAGCTAACATGCTGTAATAGAACAGCTCAGGATCAGTTTTTACTGAATAGTTGTGATGGTAAATAACAGGTTCTTTTTTTCTCCGTTGAAGAGTTCGTATGTATTTTCCACTTTCATCCTTGATCTTGATGTACTTTTCTTTCTCTTCTTTTTCAAACTTTTCAGGTTTTCCAATCACTTTCTCGTACCTGGAGACGAAATCATACAGTGACATGTTTTCGAAATCCTTTGTTCGAGGTCTATTCGGATAAAAAACGTGTACCCAATCATCAAAAAATACATTGGTGCTGTCAGGTTTCTGGTTTTGTAACTCATTTAAGCTTCTCAAAACCCTAGTCCGTCGGTCTGGAGTGGTTGTTGGTAGCCACACAAACGTTTCTGAAGATCTCCAGAGTTCACCACTGTTTTGAAGGATCCTATCAGCTGCTTCATGTGCCCCCATCTCGCGGGATTTAAGAAGCTGGAACGCAAACTTGGAGAGATTCTGATAAGATGTTTTAGACAGATCTTTCAGGTCCGCTTCATCTATGTCGATAACACTTGTCTCCCCCTTGGTGATGTACTTGGTAACATATTGTGTGATCGAGTAACTATCTTCAGCAAGGAATTGAATGTCCATATTACCTTTCCACAGAAACGATAAAATTGGATTATAATCATTAATTCTTCTTTCTTCTTCAGTTCTCGGCAAATCGTACAGTCTCTGTTTCATCTGTTTAGTTTTCCGTCCAATAACACTCGACAAAACATCATGCAGAATGAATTTCTTCGACTTTGGCCTTGGGAACCCAAATCTGCATGCAACTTTTGTTTTTGACTTAGTTGAAGAAGCTGATTCGTTCTTTGCCTTTGATGAATTATGAGACTTTTTGAATGCCCTCAAGCAATACGATCGGCATGAATGATCTTGGTAGCTTCCCACTACATCGGATAAGGTTGCCTCATTCACTGGGTCAGGGAGTTTGCACGTGATGTGTTTTTGAATAAAGCTTGCGACCTCCGCGTCAGAACTTTTACCAATCAGGGGGCTTTTATCAATCCATAAAAATGTGTGAAAGTGAACAGTACCTCGAGACTGATATTCATGTCTCACAAAATGTGACTTAACTTTTCCTAAAGGTTCGGCATCAATAATGAACTTCAAAAGTGCATCGAATCTTTTGTGGATGTAAGTGGATGTTAATACAGGGTCTTTGTTCAGTAATGCAGAAGGAGACAGGTCATCCACATTAGGTATGTCGCTGTTGGCATCTTTTAGGTGTTGAAGTAAATCCTCCCAGTCGTACTCACTAGGGCTGAAAGTGGCGAAAAACGTAGGTGGACCAAACTTTTCTATTTGTGCCTTCAGTTTTGCACGCGTACTTTCCCAGTAAGCCTGTGTATTTGGAACCAATCTTAATACTTTGTTTATCCTTTTCAATAAGGCTGGATCTTTCATTTTGATTTTGTTGAGTAAAGACGCCGCATCTAAGTTCCCCATTCCTTGTACATTCTTCAGTGTAGCGAAGATACTTGATCGAACTTTTCTACGCTCATTCTCCCCTGCTAAGTGAAACAGATGCTGTATATTCCTTCGAGTAGGCCCATTGCTGGACATAAGCCTAGACTTTTCATACTGCAGTGGTTTTGCTTCTTCACCTCTAAAACCCCTCCTTCCGCCAACACCCCAACTAAATATTTCAGGAAAAGCCAGAAGGTCCAACTTTGTGTCTGCCAGATCAACAGGATCATCATCTAATCTCAACAACCTGTATAGATCATCCATTAACTCAGGATTGTCGTCAAGGATATCCATACCAGTGACGGTAAATTCTTCGATCAAGTTCTTATAGTCTTCTTCAGTCATCTCTTCCATCATTTTCTTAGGCCCCTGTTTATCTCCATCGTCTGATTTATCGTCCTCAAAGAAAATATTTGGATCTGAATAATCCTCTGCTGCTGAAGAAATCTTTGCAGATGAACCTGAATCTGATGGCATATCAGAGGAATCGTCACTACTTTCTGTTCCTCCTCCAATTAAGTCAAGTGATTTCTCGCACTTAAAGCAGCGCCCATGTAAAAGTGAGTTTGATAGTCGCTCAGAGTAGAAAACGTCTAAACTGCGGAGAACACTGATATCACAGTCCTCAAGATTAACTGGTTGGTTCTCAGGTGAAGGTGTTTTGCATTTCATGAGTCTTTTAAAGGCTGCAATTGTTGCTTTCAAATGGCTTTTGCAATGTTTGCAATGAAGGGACTTGACTAAAGCAGTGCCGATATGGTCAAGTATATTTGTACTATAAACCATATTTTTTGATCTAAAATGGGCCCTTTCTTCAGCGGGAATTTCTGGGGGTTTGGGGAATGTTTCCGTACAAAGCTTAGTCTCGTCTTTATTCTTCAAACCGATTACTTCATGGACCCCAGCACAACTTCTCATTTCCTCTAGAGCCAATTCAAATTCCTCGAACCTCTTATCGAGGATATCTTGGCAGAGGGTAATATGCTGATCACACTTTACGCATATACCATCGCATCGTTCTTCATTGTCATTAGCTTTTGCATATAGCCCCTGTACTTCACAGTGGGCGTCATACAAAGCTGCCGACCGTTTTCGAATTTTCAACGTCAACGATCGCGAGGGTTTGGAAAAGTGTGATATTCCTTTGCTTGACTTTTCTTCAATTTCCTCGTAGCATCCATCACACATCTGCCGCTCCTCTTTCATGGAATCTAATAGAGAAAGAGTTTTCACTTTCGTACTGAAAAAGAAATTGGCTCCCCAGCTTGCCCTCAGTTGATGACTATTCGAAACCGCTTTCACGCTTCCTTTCGTGTTCCGCCTAGCTTTCTTTCGGAGGGGATGGTTGGAGATTTTATTTTGAACACAGCAGGCGCATTTGTTGATTTTAATTGAGTCATCTTCTGCAAGCAGAGCCGTCCTCATCTTTGAAAAGGCTGTAAGGATTGCCTGGATGTTCAGCAGCTGGTAGCCTAATGTGGTATTTCCCAATCGTAACAGTTGAATGATTCTATCTCTGTAATTTCTGACATCTTGATGGCAACGAACACAGAGAGAACCGTTACTGTTTAGCATCCTGGCCATATGCACCACAGATTTCAGCGCAATAACTTTTCTCCTACTGCTACAACTAGACATCTCTTTTATTCGGACCATTTCTTCGTCACTGACTGTTGCAGAAAACTTCCATATATTCTTAAAAGATGGATCTTCATCTTCGATGCCCAATTCCATGTCCTTTAAATCGACACTGGCCACGATCTTTAACGGTTTTAAATGCCCATCACCGCCTTTATCTCTGCACTTACTCTCGTCGAAACTAATTTCACTGTCGCCTGATTTACATGGAATTTCATCAAAACTGATCTCCATACTAGAAGAATTGTTGGATGATATAGCTGATTTAGTCGATGTACTACTAAGTCCAAATAAAGAGCCATTACTTGCTAGATCATCGTCGTTGCTGCTCATGTCAAGTTCACATAAACGCTCAAGATGTTCGTCATTTAAATCGGCAGGATCTTCTTTATTTTCATTAGGTAGCATTTCAGGTAATGACATGTCAATGTCTTCAGATGTGTTACTGTTCTTATGGCGGGCTCTCTTAGAAGACGGTTTGATAATTGACTCAGCGCTAGATAAAGAGGAGGATATATCGGAAAGATCTTTAGCTTTTTTACTGTTCTCACCGCAGTAATCAAAGCTATCAAAGAAGTCAGTTGGAATCGCTCCCTCTCCATCTTCAATATCGCTATCGACCTCACACATCATATCAAGAATCTCACCCTTTGTTGGAACTTCAATTTGTTCATAGAGAGGGTTATTCTTTACTAGCCATTTTAGTGCAGTGATAACTTTATCAACGTTAATCAAAGTTTGCCAAACCTTCCTGTCTTTATTCGGGAGACCATGAAGGACGATGAAAGTCTTTGGATTCAACAGTCCAGGCATTTCTCCAGCTAATTGCTTAGCGTTCACCTGTATTGGGACTGGTATGTGGACACTGAATCCTTTTACTGCAGACATTTTCTCATTATTTGGCCGATTTCCAACGCTTGGTCCTAGCTTCAAAAATGTTTGGAACATTGAAATTTGCCGTATGAACATACATTCAAACTGGGACAAATCTGCTATTTCAATAGGAACGATCCCTTCGTTCATCCCGTTCCTCACCGATATTCTTGGAACTTCTCCTTTTTCCATTTTAGTGTGACAGTAGTTGCAAATCCTTTTGCCTACTAACGTGTCAACATATACACCTCCCATTCTAAGCCATTCGTCGGATTGCAGATAGCGGAGGAGAAGCATGTACTCGGAGTTGACGATGGTCACTTTCTTCCATCGAGATGTTATGGTTTTGCACTTTTTAGAGTCATCCTCCGTAAGCCTTCGACAAGAAATGCAAGGCACTGTATGGTTAGCGTTGATTGTAGTTAGATATTTTAGGTATTGTTCAGGAAAGTTTTCTTCCATGTACTGCTCATTGATGACTTGTTGCGGTCTCTCAACTTCGAATGTTTTTTCTGCAATAGGAGGTTCGTATTGTAGTAGTTTGAGTAGATATTCGATATCTCCTGTTGCAGTTGCAGTATCTAAGTCGGACACAAACTGATCTGCTGTTTTCATGTCATTCACAGCCTTATAGAGAGTTCGAGCGTTTTTGTAGTGGACGCTCAATTTTCTCAGCAGAACAAGGTCACTGGAGCACTTGTTCTTTGCTTCACTCCTTAAACAGCTTTCAGGATGGTTGCGGTGTCCAACTTTTAAGGTGTACATGTCATTGGCTTTCAAATTTCCACATTTGTTAGACGCCTGTACGAACTTTCTGCAATTTCTCACTTCTACATTTCTGCATCTTGCCAAGTAATCTTTGAAGCGATTGGCTTCAAAATAGCCAGCCGGAATGCAGTATTCAGTACATATTTCACTTTTTCTCAATTCCTCTCTGCTCTTCTTTGAACTCTTGTTATACCGAAACTTGAATTGCTCCCCCATTGCTAAAGCTGTAGAGAGGAAAGCGAGGTTCCACACCTTTTCTGTGACATTTGTAGCCAAGGATGCTGTCAAAACGCTTCTCTTCAGATATATCCAGTTTTTCCTCGTTAATGAGCTGTTCTGATGTCAAGTTCAACTTATGACAACGGCCATACAAAACTTTTATCCACAGATCCCGGCTGTTTAAGATCCTCCTCTGGAGCTGAGATGCAATAAACTTCTTCTTATACTGGTTGTTCCGTTTAAAATTGAGAGACGGGTACCATTCGTTAATGATGTCATTCGCAAGGCGATCATTCAAATTCTCGATCATCACTCGGTTGACAGCATTTTTCCACATTAACTTGCTTTTCGATCTCATGAAAGTTTTCGTTCTGAAGGTGCCTTTTCTTGAAATATAGGATATATTGGGGAGGAAAACACTTTTCCTAAATCCCATGATCCTCTCCTTGTGTAGCAGGAATTGTAGTTTTTTACCATTACGTGTCGTGTGCTTTCTGATCTGTTTCATGGCATCTTTCCTCGTCAAGCAATAATCTATATCGTCTTCGAATTCTTCCTCAAATTCTTCAAACAGTCTGTTTCGACGATATCTAGTCCTTCTAGATTGTGACATTTTCTCTTTCTCCGAATCTTCATAATCCTTTCTTTTCTTCTTGAACTCAGGGGCTGATCTATACTTACTGGATGCTTCTTTGAGTGAGGATTTGCCAGCGAGAGATGATTGATATCGACTAGATGCTTCGTTACGCGAGGATTTTCCAGCGAGAGATGATTCATATCGACTGGCTGCTTTTTTGAGTGAGGATTTGCCAGCGAGAGATGATTGATATCGACTGGCTGCTTTTTTGAGTGAGGATTTGCCAGCGAGAGATGATTGATATCGACTGGATGCTTCTTTGCGCGAGGATTTGCCAGCGAGAGATGATTCATATCGACGGACTGCTTCTTTAAGTGAGGATTTGCCAGCGAGAGATGATTGATATCGACTGGCTGCTTCTTTGAGTGAAGACCTGCCACTAGGAGAAGAAAGGTATTCACTCAGTACATCATGACCATGCGACCCCGACTGATATTTAAGGACGTCTTTTTTATTTAACTCTTTGGCGTGGTCTTTGTTTCTGTAATGATCTTTAACTTTACGGATTGTTTGCTGACCTCCTGGTGATTTCCTATAACGGAAGTTCCTCAAAGTACGTTTTAGTTTACTCGTTAAACCCGGCTCTTTTTCACTTTCAATAGCATGTTTTTCCCCATCGATATAAAGTATAGTATCACTCTTATCCTCACTAACAATGTCATCTACACAAGACTCTTGTGTTCTGCTTTCTTTTTCTGAAGTCGGGTCTTCCTGCTGACTCTCTATCAAGGATACATCTGCGAGAGAACTATCTTCTTCGATAGAAATAGAATCTGAAATATACACTGCAATATTAGTACAACGATTAGGTATGTAAAATAGATCATTAAAAAGTAGCACAGTATAGTAACAAAAGTTATGTGATTTTATACAGTCGCTGTAATGTGATCGAGAGTGGCTTCGACAAAGAAAGATGCGTTTTATCGGCCCAGAGGCACATATTAAGTGCGGTAAAAAATCGAAATTATGCGGTACCGCACCCGACTATAAAGGTAAAATGTGTGGTAGGGTGCGGTAAATGTTTACCAATTATGCGGCAAATGTGCGGCGATTTTTTCGAAATTTTTGCGGGAATTGTGCGGTTTTCTTTTCTCAAGGACTTTGGAAATTCTAAACGTATAACCGCCGCTCTTATCAAAAATAGGTCTGTTTATCTGTTATACTGAGGGTGTAGTTCTTTAATAAGACCATGATTGAACCTATATTGAGATTCAGTTATCTGAGAACAGTGACTTGATCTGGTAGAGATCAGGAGACAGTTATTTGAAGACGCCTCTTGATAGAGTCGATCAGATCCCATGCGTGATCGCAATTTATATGTGACACGCTTGTTGGCATTGATCGTCAGTACTTGTCTGTAGCTGTTCGTTTCTTTAGGAAACGGTCCATGACGTTGTGATATGATATAGAGTAATCAGATGATGTGGTGAAGTTACGAATGATAACTGATACACTATAATCGAAGTACGGTAACGACGAGGGTTCCATAACGGCCTGGGTCACGGTCCCGAAAGGGCCTGGGTAACGGTCCCGAAAGGGCCTGGGTCACGTGGTAACCGGGTCACGTGGCCTAGGCATGAGTTCCAAAAGGGCCTGGGAAACGGTCCCGAAAGGGCCTGGGTCAGGGTCCCGAAAGGGCCTGGGTCACGTGGCCTAGGTATGAGTTCCAAAAGGGCCTGGGTCACGGTCCCGAAAGGGCCTGGGTCAGGGTCCCGAAAGTCACGGTCCTAAAAGGGCCCGACTTTTAACATATTTTGGTTTTTACACTCGAAAATCGTAACGCAAAAATTTCAAAATTATGCGAAATTACGCGGAAAATGCTAGATTATGCGGAAATACGCAGAAAATTACAAAATGTGCGGAAATGTGCGGAAAACAATAAATTATGCGGAAATGTGCGGAAAACGGTAAATTGTGCGATGCCGCACCCATCGCACCTAATATGTGCCTCTGTAATTATCGCATTAATTACTTATGAGTACTCTTGACAACAAAATGGAATTTTACTCAAATTGATTTCTTATTTCTTTCGTCATATTTATAGCTGCTTAAGCAGCTATAAATATGACGAAAGAAATAAGAAATCAATTTTTTATTGATTATTGGTGTCATGCTCAATATTAGTCATTTTTTAGTTTAAAATTCCATGCCTCATCATTTTGTTGGACATAAGCGAATATTGATCAATCAATCGTATAGTTTCTAATGCTTTTTATTTACCTTTCTGCATAGGTCTCTTAGCGTTAGGGTTTTTGGGTTTCCTTCCTACCCGTTTTTTCTTTGAATTTCTCTTGAAGGTTTTCTTGTCTGTCAATTTACTGTCGGTTCCTCCTCCTCTCATGTTCACGGTGTTAAGGCACTGAAGGTTAAAATCATGAGAAGCACACAGTGGATTGAAAATGAATAAAGAACGACGATTTTAAACTTGCGTGATTTTTAAAACTTTGTCATAATGAACTGGATGGAAATAGCGACGTTTGTATTTTAAAGCAAATGGCATCGTTAAAAGTAATGCGAATTATTAAACGCTGATAGTTTGCGGACTTACTTGTTGTCCTCTTCTTGCGGTCCTTTCTTTGTTTTTCTTTTCCTCTTCAGTAGGAAACGCCGCTCCTTGATTTAGAAACGCCGCTCCTTGATTTAGAACTTCAAACCGATTGTGTGTGTCAATCTTTATTAGCATTGACTCTTGAACGTGTTCAACTTTTCCATCACATTGCTTATCATCCTGTAATTGTAAGTAGTGCCAGTGCTACGGTACGGGCAAAGATTCAATAAGACTTTTCAAACAAACTACCAAACTTTGGTCCTGCGATTGTATCTACTGAAAGCCTCAAAGATAATATTAATATTTCTTTACTGAACAGCTTGATGGACAATGTTCACAATTGAGAGCAATTATGGCATTTTCATTACTTATAATCTTATTCGAAGTGAAGCAAGCAAAAAGCCTCAAGTAAACCATTTTTACTAACTCACCTTGGTGAAACTGGATTTTCTGTGATATTTACGATTATGAGTCCTTTTTATAGTCTTCCTCCAACAAAATTTCTTTTGAGATTGACGGCGGTTTGTCTGAAATAGATGTCACACTAAAATGTAACGTCTTAAATGTTATATTGGGTTTAAGTTTGATAAAATTTCACCGTAATCTACGTTTAAAAACACATATTATAATTCTAGCTTAATGAATAGTACTGGTATAAAATAAAGAAGTATAATTCAATTAAAACTAACATTGATAGTCTTGCTGCTGCTGCTTTCGCTATCAGAGGTTTCATCATTTTCAGTTTTACGAGCATTAACCTTAGTGGGTGCCCATTCATCAAAATTATTTGGTAATTTTGAGACGACTTCACTCCAGAGTTCCTGGCGAATACGGATTTAAAATATGTCTGTGTCAAATTCCGAGTCCGATGCTTATTATCCATATAATTGAAACATGTTCTCATAGTAGAAAGCTGCGCAAAAAACACGATTACAAACTTGTTGCTTTAATCCATGTGCAGAGATAGGACCACACAGTTCTGGGAACTCGATATCACGATTCGCAATTAGCATCTCCTCAACTTCGCTCTCCAATTGCCCCTATAATTTAACAAGTGTCAATTTTTAGCCTTCATGCCATTATAAGTAACTGAATTTTTACTGATGAACACATTGTGATAACTGTAACAAATATTCAGGAATTATGTGACTTTCCCAATCCCAACTTAGGGGTTAGAAGGGAATCCTCATAATTTACTATAGGTAAGGTAAAGGGTAAAATCGTTGTATCGATTAATAGTATATAACTCACCCATCCTGTAACCTTTGGAATCTGCACTAAACAGACAAGGCAGGTACAGGATTGACCATTAGTGCAATTTGCAATGAAGTGTGCAACTTTCTGAAATGATTATTTTTATTTACACTGCTGCTTTTTGCCAATCAAACAAATCTCGAATTCACATTATATGCACAATAAAAATATAATATGACCGCTGAACGGTGCAGGGCGCTCAGCCTGTAAAAATCTGGGATCCCTAGGGAAATGATATGTAACTATGGAAATTTTGTAAAACTAAAACTTATTTCCTCACAGTAGGTCAGTAGCTTAAGTTAAATTGAGATACTGTTATTACTATTAGTGTTATTGGACATACCTGTCTTTCAATTCGATCAGACAAAGCATTCGTGAGCAAAGCTTTAGGTCTTGACATGTTGGCAACTTGATATTCACTGCATAGATTTTTGGTTATAGAATCGTCCAATCTTGATACTGATAGCTAACCTATTATGAACGACAATAGACAACATCTTACAAATATTGCACTAAGTGTATGGAGGCAAATCGGCTAATAATTTTAAATGTAAATACAAAGTGCTATCACAAAAAACATGTCACGGTCAAAGCAAGAAATCAATTCAAGCAAAGCGATATGCCAACACTACCGTCCAAATTAAACCCACCGACTACTTCCTGTGAGAAATGTGTCATCTTCAACACAGTTCTCACAGGAATCTCAAAATTTTAACACGTAATTTAAAATAGTAGGGCTTCAATTAAGGTAATGTAGCAGCCTGGTGCCTCGCTATCAGCACGGTGCCCGGTGCAGGTGGGCACCGTGCATTGACGTCAGCGAAAATTTTAAAGTCTGAGACGCCGGGGCGATAACAATTATTCACCTTTCATTGTATGGTTGCCGACCATTGATAATAAATTAAATTAGTTTAGTGTGGACATCTAGATATAAGTGTTTGTGAATTAAACACGCTGAAAATCAACCCAGTCTCGAATTACGACTTATGTCATAACCATGACCATTGATACTATTTAAAAAGCTAATTCCAACAGACTTTTATTTTTATGAACTGGGCGAAGACATCAAAAGCACGGCAATTACGTGGACTGCAGGCATAAATACATTTATGTCTGCTCTTATAACGTCTGACAACGAAGGTAGTATTATATCGGATACGTGAAATTTCCCCGTTTCTCACGTGTGTACTTTAAGTGGACATTACATGGCATAAGCATCAAATGTTCTAATATCGTATTTAAGTCATATTTGTAATACTTAGAAACTTTCATTGAATAGCGAGCTGCGAGGTTATTTCTACAATTTCGAAATTTTATCTATTAAAACATTTCCTTGTGTTGCAGAAGTCACCATATTCTTTATCACTAACTGGATATGCTCTTTATACTCAATTAAGTTGGTATTGCATTCATACACTCCATTTAACTGTCTTGTGAAAGCAGAAACTAATTGAAATCGAGAATGAGCAAAATTCTCAACTTTCGCACGTGCAAACTTTGAGCGGACGTTGCGTGCGCATCCAATATTAAATCGCCTTAAATTTTTGCATGTAATTGTTTTATATATAGTTTGATAAGCATGCAAAGTTTCAAAGTATTTCAAGAAGAACTGTTATCACAACGGCACTCTAAAGTTGACAGAAAATGACGAAAACAGCAACTTTCAGTGGTTTTAGCAATTTTTTATCAATTTGGGCGTGTCCCCACGTGTGCAACTTTTCTATTTTCGTCTTCAAAACTAGCCTAATGCACAATTTATACCTATAGGAAGCAGAACTGAGCTCCACAACCCAATGCATGGCCCAACACCAGAGAATACTAAATCGCAAAATTGACGTTTTTATAAAATAATTCTTCAAAAAAGCACAAACTTCAATGACGAATATCTTTATGAAGGAGCAAGCTAGAAAAACTTTCCGGTAGATTTTCAGAATGCTTGAACAATTATCTAAGATGAAAATTTCCTCAGATTTTGAATACAATTACTTTTTAATGGTGTAAAATCATTTTAAAAGTTATTACTTTGTCAAAAATCAAGTTTTAAAAACGGTTAACTTGATGACGTCATCAAGGGGTGTTCATGACGTCAAATAATTTGTTTATACAATGTAAACTAAAGTGTAAACAATTATTTTCAAGACCTGTGGTCGGAAATGGCTGTATCTTTTATACTTTTGAATCTATGGACAATTAAATACAGGCTACAATTGACTGGCAAAGCGTCTATCCCTGAATATATATATATATATATGTATATATATAGATAGATATCACGACAATCTGTCGTAAAACAGGGGTTCTAGAAAACCCACTTCCCGATGTTCCTGAAACCTGAAACTTTTTTTGCAGTCGATTTGGTCAACGTCTAGACGCCCTGAAAAATTTCAGATCTCTAACTCGATTTTAACATGGTTACTAAGGCACCTGAATATGGCGATTTTGGGTTTTTTACCGAATTTCGTATAACAGTGCTGGCGAGTATTTTATGCAAATTTCTTAAAAATCTCAACATAACTATTTTTTATTCCTGTCATCTTTGACATCAAATTAGAATGTTTTGAACTAAAAATAAATCTGCTGAACGACTTCCGATGAGTCTTAATGCCTGAAAAACTCCTGCCGGAGGCGGCGGCCTTCGGCCGCCGCCTCCGGCCGGAGTGCACGCTTCGCGTGCACGAAAGAGGCTTCCAACGTGTACCAAAGGGGGTATAATAGTAAAGGGGTTATAATAGTAAAGGGGGTATAATAGTAAAGGGGGTACAATAGTAAAGGGGGTGCATAGTATACCCCCAATAAAGACAACGCTCGTGCTTGCCAGCACTGTGATATACCTACAATTAGAAGATTTATATTCTTCGTTAAGATTTACATGATGAACTATATTTTTCACTCAGATTCGCAAGATAAGCCTGTTTTAGGACTAGTACATGAATTTCCATCCAGATTGGTCAAAAATTGGCTGAGCTATGAGCTTTAAAAAATATGCCCATATTTGGGCATACGCTTTTGCCCAAATTCGCTTTTGCCCAAATTCGATAAAATTTCAATATTTTTTAATGAGACTAATTCTATGTGAAAGATATAACTCAGTGTTTGTTGAATATAGTGGATACTAAGTAAAAAGACCTCCATGAACAAAATTGGGAAAATTGCACATAATATCTCGGTTCGGAATACTAGCCAAAATGACTTCATTAAAATTGAAATAACTCCATCAGTTTCAATATTTTTTCAAGAACTTTTTGGAATCGATTAAGAATTGCATTTCAAGCTTATTTTGGGCAACAATTTTTGATGTAGGCCTCCAAGGAGATAGGGATATATTAAAGTATATTAAAGTATATTAAAGTATATTAAAGTATATCCCCGGGTCAAAATCGGGAAAAATCCTACATTTTAATATACTTTAATATGGTTGCCCCCCCCCCCCCAATGGATCCTTAGCTACTCCCTAGACTAGGTGACACTGAAGACTAGGCAGTATCTAGATAGCCCGACCACTGTCCGCGGACAACTGTCCGCAGACAACTGTCCACGGACAACTGTCCACGAACACCTGTCTACCAGATCATATTACTGCATAATAACAGTATCCCCTGAATCAAGCAACAGGTGTTTGTGAATAGTTGATTGGTTACCAGATCTAAGAATGGTATGTAAGGGTATCTTGGATACAATTAGTTACGACTAGCACAATTAATTGTAGCGTAGTAAATTACTGGATCTCTCGGATATAATTAGTTACGAATAATATTGATTGTAGCGTAGTATATTGCTCAATGAAATAAATGATTGATGATTACGATTTAAATGTGGTTCGTTTTTGGTGAAGTCGTTCGTTTTTGGTGAAGTATTATCAGTTGCCATCATCAGCAACAACAACAACTATTCCAATTCCTGACATGGTACTCTTCTGTCTAATGGACGAAATTAATGGACCCACGGCCTCCCTAGACAGGTGTTCGTGGACAGTGGTCGGGCTATCTAGATACTGCCGAAGACTAGAGGGACTAGAGGGACAAAGGATCATTTCCCTGACTGAAGTACTCTCTTTTCATACATATCTTTATTTTCTTTCTCATGATTTCTATAGATCTTATCTCTGATACCAGATAGAAGAAAACCAAACCAATTTCAATGAGAATTCGAGTAATATATATATGTAGCTTACTATTTGTTAATATTGCAAATGTCATTCTAGACTTCAATCTAAAATTTATTATTGCAATGCAAATCAGTGGTGTAACGACCGCCCCCGCTACCCTGCTAGCAGGGGGGCGGGCATTTTCCTGGATTGTAGGTCGTCGTGAACAAAATATTTGGGGTACCATTTTTGCTACAGGGGGCGGCAAATGGCTGTAGGAGGTGCCAAAAAAAGTACCCAACCTTTTTTTTTTTAGGGACATAAAATTTTAGGGGCGGAAAATTTTTTTTGCGGGTGAAAAATTTCGGCGAGCAAAGCAAGCCGGCTCCGGATAGGGTCGGCAAATTTCAATCAGCAGGGGGGCGGCACAAAGTAAAGTTACGCCACTGATGCAAATGTCATTCTAGACATTCAGTCTAGTACAACTACAAGATGGATCTAAAGACCATCATACTTCCTAAATTTCTAACCGAAACGTTTTAGCATCCAAGAAACATGGCGTCAGAAGACAGGGGATGCTGCGATAAATGTGCCAAATTGTTCATCATGATGATCAATATCGTCATTGTCGTAAGTAAATATTTAACACAATGTTTCCTCTGTGATTGAACTAGATTTCTTATGAGTGGTGCACAAGATACTTGAAATTGTATCTTGCTGCTTTCTGCTGATCATATCTCTTTACTTTATTAAGATTGCTTGTTACAAATCATGTCAATTGTACATGTACAATGTACAATGTACAATGTACTTGTGTGTGCATATGACAGTGAAGTACCAAGTGGACTGAACTGTTGTGAAAGCTTATTAGTTTTAAAATTGATCAATTAATTAAATAATTAATGATGATGCTCCGAGTAATAGTAGTAGTAGAAGTAGGCTCCGGGCAATAACTAAAATAACCAAGCTTAAAACAGATTGCAATATTACAGTACCTGTCAGTAGGCCACAACTAAAAGGAAATTTGACTTATTCTATCCATCCCTTATAACGTGGTTATTGATAAAATAGTGGAGTTACCAAGTCTGTGGTAAAATTAGGTTAATTTATACATTTTCATTACACTGACTGGTTTGTGTTTATCACCCAAACATAAAAGTGTTTTCAGCTGGTCAAAAAGACCATAATATACAGTAATTCCCCGATGTACCGCAGAGTTTGGGAGAAAGGAAAAGCGGTAAATCGAGGTTTGCGGTAGATCGGGGAATTACTGTACTTGACTTACTATAAACGATAAAATGCCGGGCCCCAAATGGAAGCATGTATCGTGTTACTATTAATAACTTTCTTATGCGTGGAG